TTAAAAGTTTTAAAAATAATAATAAAAATTTTATATTTGTACATTCCTTTGTAAAATTCAAAAAATGCTTAAAAACAAAATAGTAAAATCATAAATCATATATTGGAGATATTGAAACTGAAAATATACTAACAGAAAGATTTTCTCTTTCTTTTAATAAAGAATAAAGGAACTAAATAAAACAAATATTAGCATATGAAATTAATTGAGATAATTTTTCATTTTTTGAAATAAGTAGTAATAATTTACCTGTAATTGACTTATAACGCACCACCAATTGCTGTATATCATAGAGCTATAATTTGGTAATAATAATTATAAATTACTAATGAATTTGACCCTCATAGTAACCAACAATGGTTATAGCATAATGTTAAATATACTGGAAAAGAAGATCAGACCGGAGGTCTAGGTAGCATAACTGGCAACGCATCTGCATGATAAGCAGCAGTTACAAGTTCGAGTCTCACTCTGTGCTGATTATTTTCTTCCAGGTTAATCTAAAATTATTTAATTAAATTATAATTATTAAATTTAATATGAGATGGTACTTAATATCTTCTCTAGGGTCAAATTCATAGTAATTTATAATTATTATTACCAAATTATAGCTCTATGATATACAACAATTGGTGGTGTGTTATTGCAATGTATCAGGTAGTTATTAATTTAATTACAAATATAAATGTCTTATGTTCTCATATCAGTTAACTGATATGAAATTAAATTCAGTTTTCCATTTTCAATATTTTATTATCAGTTACTCATTAAAATTTCAAATTTAAAAACATATCTAAATTTTATTGCATATCATTAAAAGTACACTTGTGTTCCACAATATATTCAATTCAATTCTTTATTGTAAGAACCTTACTTCATTATACGGGGGTTAAAGTATAATATAAAACTAAAGTTAGTGCAATTTAACAAATTTATATAATAGCTTAGTATAAGATAATACAAAATAAAATACAGAATAATTCAATTCAATTCAATTCAAGTTTATTAACGTAATTTGGAAAGAAATTCCAGTTACAAGGGGTGCATTGGGTTACAAATATTTGTAAATATATAATATCTTCCGACAATAAATAATTATTATGTAAGTTTCTTCTATTCTTAAATTTAATCAATCTATTATACTATTAAACATAAGTTAGAACACCAACAATAGCAATATATTCAATTCAAGTTTATTAACGTAATTTGGAAAAAAATTCCAGTTACAAGGGGTGCATTGGGTTACAAATATTAGTAATTATATAATATCTTCCAACAATAAATAATTATTATGTAAGATTCTTCTATTCTTAAATTTAATCATTCCATTATAATATTAAACAAAAGTTAGAACAACAACAAAATTAAATATATATATCATTCATTAAGGCTCTCCACCGTTTTAATATATTTAATAATGAACTGATAAATTCTGATAATCATAGTTGGACCCATCTGAAATATTTTTTGATAGAATTCTTGCATAGATTTGATGGCTGACAAGGTAGAAATACCAGTCTGTTCTCTAAGTTTGGAACAACCTTTGCACATACTAATTATATGATATACATAAATTTGGTCATTACATAGCTTACATTGTTTATTCCTGATGTCCAAATAATTTCCTTCAACTATGATATAAAAACTGTTTAATCTGATCTGCATATAAAATCTTTTCATCCCAAATGGTATTTTATAATGAATATAATTACTTGCTGGAGGGAAATTTAGATTAACTATATACCATGGGTGAAATTTTGACTCCTGTAAATTTTTCATCTCACGAACAATTGAATTATTATACATATTCTCCACCAATAAAGAAATTCCGTAATTCCAGTCTGTTTCTGAACTGTTAAATAATAAATGAGACAAACCATAACTTGCCAATTTGATCCTTAGTTTGTTATACCAGTTGTTTTGATAGTTCTTTTTGTTCTCTGCCAAGGTTTTTAAAACTTTTAATATCGTATTAACCTGTATATTCTCACTAGTTAACAGTCTCTTCAGAAATTTCATGATCCTAATTACCAAGTAAGGCTCTAATAACATTCTATTTGTATCATGGCGAATCGCATACCCTGGCACTGCTTTGTCTAATCCGTAAATTTTTCTTATAAATTGTAATTGAATTTTTTCAAAGTAAGATAACCAGTCCAGACCCCATAATGGGAGAGCATAGCAAATAGAGTTGATAACCAGCGCTGAAAACAGTCGAAACTGCATTTGAATAGAATTTGTTTTCATTTTAACAAATAAACTAATTAAATTATTAATTATTCTATATGCTTTGGTTTTCATCCACTGAATGTGTTTACCAAAAGACAACGTTGAGGTAATAAGAACCCCCAAATATAATACTTCTTCAGTTACTTTCAATTTTTCGCTCAACAAATAAAAGTCATGATCTTTCCTCGCCAGCTTACCTCCCTTTCGAAACACAACAATATGGGTCTTATTCGGGTTGATCTTCAATCCCATCTTCGAAAAGTATCTCTCAGTTAAATTTAATTTTCTTTGAAGACCTATTTTTGTCGGTGAAATCAATACCACATCGTCGGCGTATTGTATCGAATGTACTATCAAATTGTCCTTAATAATAATACCATCCTCCTCCTTCATAAATTGATTATCTAAGTCATGGATCATAAAGTTGAATAAATAGGGTGATAACGGATCACCTTGTAGTAAACCACCACATATCTCGAACGAAGGGTAAGTAATTAGACCACTTTTAATTGTAATAATGTACTGACCAAACAAAGACCTTATTACCCTTGTAAATGTTGAGTCTGCTCCATAGTCTTCCAATTTCGTACATAATTTATCCACAGAAATAGAGTCAAATGCTTTTTCTAGATCTAAAAAGGCCACATATACCTTACGTCTTTTTTTAGCAAGGTGAATTTGAAAATACAGAATAATAATCAATTTCAAATTCAAAAGCAAGCTAAATTAATTATATCTTTCCAAGACTTACATCTTGTCAAATACTTTTTCCTGCTTGATTTAAATTTCACACAATGAAAAAATATGCATTACTAAGTTTCATAAGTCCCAATCTAGCAAATTTTTCAATGCCAAAAACCAATTATATATATAATTATCCAGCAACTGAACATAACTTATACAAATATCTTTACAAATAAACATCTTTACAAAACCCAATACATTACAATAAAGCAACAACATCAGGCTAAATAACAGCTATAATAATTAAAAATTACTGATAAATTTGACACTAGAGGGAGGTGTAATTTATAATAATTATTATTATATATATTTATATTACAGCCAATATTTAGCCAATATCATACAGAAGTTGTTGTTGCTTTATCATAATTATACAGTTTGTTATATGCTACTTTAACATAACTTTTATTACCTAATTTCAAAAGTCTAATTCAAAATGAAACTATTGCTTTTATTGTTATTACAGATATCCTAGAAACACCAAACTCCAAATGCAACATGGGATTTTATGACATAACATAACAATTCTCCAAAAACATAAGGCAAGGACAATTTCCATTTTATCATAATAAATAATTGCCCATACAAGAGCAGCATAAAGTAATACAGATGAAATCATTGAAATAACTTTACGTAGATATAAGCAGAATTAATTTTAGCTCTTGAAAGAATAAGTCAAATAGAACCCATTGCCAGTTTATCTTTACATATAATATAATTTTTAGCATATAAAAATTGTCCAGAAGATGAAAATAATACTCCCAAGTGTACGTAACTCAAAATGATTTATAGACGCCGATTCTTAAACACAATCTCTGTCTGGGTGATCATCTACTTCCCTTCTTGAATATCATTACTTTAGTTTTTGAAACATTTATAGTTAATCTATAGTCACAACAAAATTCCTCCAAAATTGCAATTTTCTATTGTAATGTTTGTGGAGTATCAACAAAAATTAAGAGTGTCATCAGCATACATTAATACATGTACCTCAAATTGATTAGAGAGAGAGAGAGAGAGAAATCATGGGTAAGTCAGATTTAACAAGTCACCCTATCATACCATTAACACAGAAATTAAAAAGTAGGTTCCACAATATACTACACAAGTTAACTAACAAATAAATAACAATAATAAATAAAAAATACACATGATTGATAGTAACATTGTGTTACACATATAAGTTTGAAATATAAATACAGAAACAATCCAAGTATGGTTAAAATTTAACAAATTTAGTATTTGCATTTATAACCAAATGAAAGAGTCATAGTTTGCTGTTAATAACGGTGCCATCACTGATCCTTTTCATACTTTTTAGAATAATACTGAAAAACATAAGTGTCTATAGTTTGCAGCATTCTTTAGATAAGCATTTATCAACTCATTATTATTTATGTCTTGCCAAGGAACTGAAAGCTAATAATACAGAAAACTTTCCATTGTGATAATATATAGAAAATATTCTGTATTAGCTAATGTACCCAGTAATGCTTGCGTTATTTTAAGAAAACATCAAACAGGTTTGAAAACTACACAATGTTGTTAAATGTTGGTATAGGTGGTAGTTGGCAAATGCATACATCAAATAATTGCTTCCATCACAGTTCTATAAATTTCATCATTTAATATGCTTTTTATTGACTTAAAACTTTTTCATAACAACTAGAAAACAGAGTAAGTTTTCAAAAAGAAATCAAAACTATTTATTTCAATAACTAAAAAATAATTAAAATAAAGTCAAAGAAACTTACTTGTATGAATTATCAAGAGATTTCTTTAAACTGTTTACAGTTTCCATGGAATTGTCCAGATCAGCCTAGAAATACAAATTTTAAAATTTTTGTATAATTTATCTTACAGAAATAGTGTACTATTTTAAAGAAGAAACAGATAATATATTAAGGTATAAATAGAGTATAAAAAATTTTTCAAATTTGAAGAAAATTAAATTTACTATTTTTTCCTATTAAATGAACAAAACAATAAATATTTAATTTAGCATATTCCTTCTTATATAAAGAGAAATATTACTTTTATTATAGAAAGATAAAAGTTTTAATTATAAAAATTTGATTATGCAACGTTTATTAAAAGTCATTTGTGTATAAAAATTTTATGTTTGTTACTTAAAATAAGTATTAAATTATAAATATGTAATAGGAATAAAACTTTTTCTTAATTTGAACTCTTAACAATCCACAACAATTTAAATTCTATTACATACTAATTTAATTTGTAGATTGATAATTTTCTGAAAAATTATTTAAAAAATGAATAAGTTCTCTATAAGAAAATAATGGAAACTGTATAAATATAATTTTATATATTTATATAAATTTTAATCTTCTATCAATCATTTTTTGGACTTTCTGATAGTAGAAAGTTATAAAAAGACGTTTATGCAGTTTATCATTTTAATAAACGAATATGTTCTTGGATATTTTTTAACTCTGTATACATTAACAAGGCCTACTATATTTGATATTATGTTGTAGAATTTTATTTGAATTTTAAAATGCTGGTTTTGTAGTTGATTTTGTTGTATATGGGTTATATCATAATGCCATGACAATAAGTAAATAAATAAAATAAAAATTTATAATGAAATTAGTACTAAATTTATTTGTCATAATAAATGATAACACAAAAAAATTTATATCCTGAAGTAGAATTATTTGATACAAATACAGGATTCTCATCAACAAAGAATGAAAAAGTAGGACAATTTTAAGAAAAACAATATTTCAGTACAGTGTTGCCTCTTACTTCAAATTTAATTTATTCTAGGAAGCTGTTTAAACTCCAAACTGTTCAAAGTCCAAAGCAACATTTTCCATTAAAAATAATGGAAATTCAATTAATCCATTCTCAGACCCTAAACAATACCCATTTCAATGAACTTAACATGACAAATATACATAATTTAAAATAAAAATAACACAATTAAATGCCCTAATAATAAATTAAAACACAAAACCAATAAATAGAATACATATATATTGTACAATATATCAAAAATTGCATTTATTGATCATACATCATTGATATTTTATTGTTAATTGTCTACTTTGACTTTACTTATTAATAGGACTTTATACTGGTGTCTAAAGATAGGCACAGTACTGAGAGTTAGTTCACGAAAGAACAAAATTTCTTTATTAATCACCTGTAGTAATAAACAGAAATTATTACCACAGGTGATATAATAAAGAAATTTTGTTCTTTCCAGAACTAACTCTCAGTACTGTGCCTATCTTTAGACACCAGTATAAAGTTTTATTAATAAATAATTAATATTAAAATTTAAAGACGGTAAGGCTTTTACAAATACATCATTGACATTAGCATCTTAAACATGACCACCAGATCTGCCACATGTATACCGCTTTCATGTTTTGCAATAAGTTCCTTTTTCATCTGAATCATTGATATTATGGCATTTGTCTTCTTGGGTTTTGTTGCTTCCACACACTTCTCTGATGCCATAATTAATATGTAAAGGCGATGTTAGGTTGAACAGAAAGTTTTTTCATATTTTTTACAGCTGTCCTTACTTAAAATAAAAATAAATCTATGTTAACAGAGATGTGTGATTTAAGTATAACAATGATGAAATTTAACACATTATTGCTAATTTAACATTGTATTCTTTATTCAGATGCTTATTTTACACTTTGAGTGCATTTTTCACAGTGGGCACAGTTCAAACTCTGAAGCAAATTTTTGTCAAATTTAGCATTCCAAGTATAAGGTATTGTTGTATTCATATTTTCTTTACAATGTTAAAAGTGCCACTGCCATTCAATTCTTACATATTTTGTTTTAAAATTTAAACTGCCTTCTTAATTTTTAATGTAATTTTCATTTATTTCCACAGTTTTTAGGCCTGCAACTGCAGGAGCATTTTGACTTCATTCATCTCATCTTCCTTTGACAATTTATTTTTTAACCCCTTCTGAGCCGCGCTCGAGTGTGACTCGAGCAAGTTTTTTAGCATTACGTCGTTAAGGCCACTTTTGAAAAAATTAGTTTTTTTTGAATTTTTGGAATGTTTTTTAGGTCCCCAAATTTTTTCAGAATTTTTTGCGCACGCGAAAAAATTTTATCGCGATTTTAATGGGCCTTTGATAAGGCTCGATTAAGGCTTAATGTTTTTTTAATGGGAGTTTTTTATCAAAATTAATTTATCATTCTAAAGTTGTAGCGCACCGATTTTCCTTCGGTAAAGTTATTTAAAGCTGCTTTCTGATGTCAAAAACGACTTCCGATAGTTTTTTAATTTTTTTAATTAATAGATTTTATTATATAGAAGTTTAATTAATTAGGGGGGGTCGGAAATCGCAATAAAAATTATAATTTTTTTAAAATATTTAAAAATATACCGCCAGATTGAAGTCACCCTACTTTAAACCCTTGTCCTCCCGCGATGTCTATGAGAATGTCCCGGGAAATCGGACTCCAGCTGTGTTCAAGGTCACCCAGCTGTGTAAACAATGACTCATCGGTGTTACATTTCACAGACAGGCGAAACAAAGGAAAATAAAAT